TTGAAACATTATGCATAACATTGCATAAATATTGCTCAGTAATTTATTTTTTTTTTCATTGCTAGAATCCAGTTTGTGGAAACCTACTATCTAAAACTTTTAACTCACTAATTGCAAAAGCTGTAGAAATGTCCTTACAGCATCAAAGCCTCACTTGATCCTCAGAGCTGTTATAAACGTAAAACTGTCTCTATTACAAGCAAATAGGGCACTTAATGTACTCTTGCTGGCTGTGATGCTATTTTCCTGTGGGTTTTGAAAATGACCTTCCTGTAAGCATCAAGGACTGTAACTTTTCAGATGAAGAAACTTGTTCTTGTTTTAAGTCTATACCAGGTTCATTCCCCTGTAGCCCACAGTTTTCAAAAGCAGAAGAAAAAGTAATCCAGAATTTAAAAAAAAAAAAAACAAAAAAAAAACCCTCTGTTTCCAGAACGCAGTTACCCTGTCAGCTTGCCTTGGGCCTTAGGTGGAGAAGTGGAGATTAAAGAGTCAGTATTCCTTTTCATGTTTCGTCTGCCAGTTTTGTGAATGTAGAAAGAGTACTTGTGGCTGCAGCGAAGTATCTGACTATGGTATTAAGTATGGCATTTTAATCCTCATGCAGTAAATTAAAAATATTCTTATAAGCTTATCACAAGGGAAATTCAGTATCAATACCATCCAGTCATTGATAAAGGTATTTCAAGGAGAAGGGTGAATAGCACAGCAGATGTAACCTCAACATTTTCACCAATTATAAAGAGCCTCTTTGTGAAGCTCTGTGAATATGTAAGATGATCTCATCATTTCCTATTTACTCAATACTTACCTGAATACACAATATAGTGTAGCTTTTAAATGCCTATGCATATGAGTAAAATGTCCTTTTGTATGAGACTTCACTAAAAGACTGCTTTTGATACACATTTCTTCATCTCCTCTTCAAACTGAATTAAGCTACTTCCTTCTTTTAAAACACAACTCACTATTTAGAAGCTTTGGCTTTGATTTCTTAGAACAGCCTTACAGGAAGAAACTATGTTCTTTTTCTTTTTGTAACCATATTTCTGAAGACAAACTTGTACTGATTTATTTTTATTTTCTAACAGAAATAGGTTCCTGCAAAGAACACTGACTGTTTCTTCTTCTCCCCCCTCCTGCACTCCACTGCTACAAGAATATTGCTGTGCACAAAGCTACCAAGGAAAACTGAAATCCCTCTATTGGGAACTGTGTACACAGCAATATATTCATACTTTGAGAAATAAGTGAGATTTTTTTTTTTTCATTCTTAGCATGATATACGGTGCATTTCTTGCATGTTAACCACTGAATTCAAATTGAGTAACTAGGGAACATTTCGGCAAATTTTAGTCAAGTTTAGCATCCACCATTTTAGGGAGTATATCTGTGCAGCTAATGTAAAGGTCACCAGTTTTAAAGCATTAACCCTCAGCTATTCCGTTTGATTAAAGGGGTTCTATCTATCTATCTATCTATCTATCTATCTATCTATCTATCTATCTATCTATCTATCCATGTGTGTATATACCATTGTATCTGTTCCTAGTATTTAAGATTTTTTTCATTCTTCTGTTCACAGTTAGACTCATTGTAAAGATTGTTCCTGACGGCTATTAAGCTGTTCTCTGCATTTCCAGAAAATATGGCTTAGTAACAAGGCCTTTTTTTCCTATTTCTTTTAAACTTGTAACTCTCATTAACATTTTAGAGACTTCTGCATTGATTAGCAGAAGAAACCAAGTCTGTGAGAGAAGTCACCTTCCCTGCTACTCTTAGAAATGGGCTGATGCAGTCCTGCATAATCCCTTCAGTCACATAAGCCATCCCACCAGTGTAGTCACAGGTCTCACCTTCCCCTTTATTGTGTTGTCTGCCAGACTGTGTACTCCATGTATGATAAAAATAAAACTCTTTCCATTTCACAGTGTAAATAATATTATATGAATAAGCCAGATAGATTTCCCTTACTGATGTGTCCTCCTTGCTTGTTTTCTCAAAATTCTCATCTAATTTCTAAGTTGCAGTTTGGCAATGCCAACCATAAATTACAAAACATTTCCTTTTTGGTTTTTTTTTCATTCTTTCATCACATTGAAAAATTTCTTCCCAGGCTATAGTGTGAGCTTTCAGAACTGGCTTGGGGGTGCCTAGTGCACTCTCAAAGGATGTAAGAACCAGATTTAGCAGCGCATCACATCTGGTCTGCTGGAGAATCTCTTTACAGAGAGAATTTTTATATTGAATCGTGGGACTTCCTTCAGAGCGTGGTCCACAAATCTCTCATATGAAATGTGCTTTAGAAAGATACAGGAAGGAAAATCCTGTGTATCTGGTGATATATCTGAACTGTCCAAATAGACAGTGGGATTTTGCAGGTAGATGAACTTCATGGAAAACCCATTTTCAGGACAGTATTTCAAATATTCTGTGGATGTATAGTAATTTGGGAGCCTGAACTCTGACTGTAGATGGCTTGTATGCAGCTCTGATCCACTGAGTTCTTTTTCTTGAGATATCGAGCACCTTTTCCTTCAGAAATAACTTATAAAGTTTTAATTTCCCCCTTTTTTCATAGTTCTGAAATGAATGCACTGTTCAGCTCATGACATAGACTTTCCTGGTGGTGCAACAACCAATATAAAAAGTACTGTAGGAGGAAGGACTTGGCTAGGATGAAATGGACTGAAAGAGCTGGAGAATCTGGGTCCTCATATCTACCACTATGCAGAATTTTAGTGTGCTCTTGAGTCACTGGTGAGTGACTCACCTGGTACCTTGGTTTTCAAATGTGCATGTGGGCAGTTGTGAGGATTCATCCTTTGATATTGGTATAGTATGGTAAACGCAGAAAAAAATCCTGCTGTACAGAAGACAACAATATAATTAGTAAACTTTACTAGTTTCTGCACACACGTGTGGGTACCCAATCAGGGTTCCAGAAAGGAGCCAATACCACTCCAGACTTCCAGGCATGTCAGTTTTGCTGTCAGCTGTAAGCAGAGTATTTTGAATGTCCTATTTTACTGAAATGGAAAAGTCTACTATAATCAAAACTTCAAGCAGTACTTTTCTTTCCATATTCTTTATAACTGATCAAGTTGGGTTAATTTATGTGGGCTTGTTTTCTAAAGTGGCATACAACATTGGTTTGACAGAAATGCTGGGTAGTCAGTTGTTCATTTTTTATCTTTATTCTGCTGTATAATGGGGTTTTGAAGCCAATTAATTATCATAGCAGAATATTTAGAGCTTGGAATACAAAAGTAAAAATTTAGGGAAACTTATGGATCTCTGCTAGAAACAACCTAGTTAACTAGAAGTTTCTGAAAAACAAGACCCAGATCAGAATTATTTGTTCATATTACAGCTTAACCTAACTTGCTCTTTACACTCGATTTACATTGCACTTTTTTATATGCATTTTTTTTATATGCAGTAGTTGAAAAATTGGATTGGGGATTGTGAGATCCCTCTAAGGTAAGAAAACCTCTGTGTCTTACTGGCTGCCTTTGTAAATACCTTTTTCTGAAGATATCTATTGTACATGGATTTAGATATAGATATATTAATATGTATAATTAGGAGTATAGACATTCGTTTAACTTGAAAGCTCCAAAGTGTCATTTGTCACATTTATTGTAGGAAGTTTAACTGCCTTAAATAGTTATTCTTTTCTGATGTGACTTTTTTCCTTTCCCCTTTACAAAAAGAAGGGGGAAAAAAAAGTACTTCATGAAACTTGTATATGAAGCACTTATTAGCCGTAATTAAATGGACAATATGAATTTACTACGTCTTTAGGACTCTGGCTTGTTCTGGTTTAGAGCAAGATGATTAATGCAAATACATATTACTTGAGATAACCATTTAGCAGCTAATTTAGCCAAATTTATTACAGCAGTTAGAGGTTTTTCATTTTAGCAGACGGAGACAAGGACATGACAAAAGCAGGAGGTGTATATGAATGCACACTGCCCTCTAGTGCACAAAGCTTTATGGGAGTAATGAGACGTGCAGAGATGAGGAAGTGCTTCAGTAACAATAGTACTCAGATTTTGTATAGTTTAGGTTTTCTTAAAACCATAGTGCTCTCTTCTACTGAAAGATTTGCATTTCATCCCCTTCTCCTGACACTTAAGCATCAGATATAAGCCAAATCTGCTTCAAGTTGGTAATATTTTGGCTGAAGTATTACTTTAAATATCTGTAATTTTAAGCCTTCTGGCTGTGAGCATTTAATAACACCATTTCACATTACTGACTGCTTTTACTTGTTTCCCTGTTTCCTAGCATGTTTCAAACACTGAAGAGAGCTGTCACGCCTTGGCTCTAACGAAGCCATTCTGTGTGTCCCTTAGGCCTCTTTCTCAGTCTGTTGGTGGATTTACTTTGCTCTGGTAGAAAGTAAATTCTCCCAAGACTTTCCCCCCGCTGACCAGTGGATATTTGGTTCATCTGAGAACTGTAAATTCTGTTTGACAAGATCAAAGAAACAGATGTGTAAGTTCAGTGGTTGATATCGCCTGCAATAAGGAGAAATGATCAAAGCAGCAGGGGTAGAGTATCTTCCCAAACCTTTCAAATATCCAGAATCTCAAAGAGGTCTACCTAGGAGCTATGAATAAATCACATATAAATTTGCCTCTTTTTTTTTCTTTTTCTTTTTTTACTGTTTGACATTGAGTGCATTGAAAATGCCCACACAGCAATAAGTATTCTGTGAACCAAACAGATTCACAGTTCTACTTTTCTTCTTCCACTACAGTTTCCAAAAAAAAGAGGAAAATTATACTTCAAAAACCTGTAAAATGTACAGCTACTTACACTGAACTTTAATTCCTGTTTGTCATCTCTCTGCCATGCTGCAGTAAACCTAAAGGAAGCCAAGTATCTTCTTTTTATACTTGTGGCACGTTGGACACTGAAGATCGTTTTACCACAGTTCTAACATACATTATATCTTGCTTCTGTTTTGTTTGTGGTTTTTTTGCCAGTGCTGAATAAGGGTCAATGTGTAACAAAGTATTACCGTTGGATGCAGAAGAATGGAGGTTATATCTGGATACAGTCTAGTGCAACCATAGCTGTCAATGCCAAGAACGCGAGTGAGAAGAATATCATCTGGGTCAATTACCTTCTTAGGTAGGTCTTCCAATCACTTCTCTCACTTGAGCTGCTGTCTCTGTTGCTTGTCTCTGTTGGTGAAAGTTTTATGGAAGAAACAATTGCCTACTCAAGGAAGTTAGGGAGAAGAACTTTTCATATGATCCACATAAAAAACATTGCCATTTGGTTACATTTATTGAGACATCTGACATGTCTCAGTAGAGTGGAATATTCTTGAATTATTATGCTCTCTTAGTTTTCAAATAAACCTTCCACCATTTTATTGCATGCACATACTTCCCTGAAATCTGCTTAATCTGAGCTCAAAGATAAAAATATCTGCAACAACTCCCAGTAGTTGTGTTATAAAATCTGTTGTGAAATGTTGGGCAGTGGTTTGTTTGGTTATTCAAAATGCATGGAGGCAAATTTCTGGAATGCTACAAAAAGGTCTTTATGAAAGGTGTCTCTCATTTCACTCCAGGGAGAGGCATTTTCTCAGGAGAAAAGCCTTGAACTAATAAGTTGTTTCTGTAGCCATCAGATAGCATTCACACTGAAAAATACAAAATAGGGTTTAAAATAAAAGTAGCAATTAAAACTATTTTAAACTATTAGAGCTATCTTAAAAAGAAATAGTAACATATTGAATGATAGACTCTTCCCTGAGAAATTCTGTTTTGCCAAAGCCTAAGTATTTTTACAGGACTGGTTTCTGAGCTCAAGGGAAGACCAGCAGTCACTGAGAGACAGTGATTATAAACCTGACCTTTCTCATCTGAAAATACCTTTCAACACATTCCGTTTTGTGAAAATGTTCAGTGAGATTGGGGGATTTTCTGTTTCATTCCAGAGCAGAACAAACAAACAAAATTTGAAACCTTGAGATTGTCATGAAACACAATTGTCATTTTCTGGCCTGTTCTTTTAAGTTACTTGTCATGGTTTGTTACATTCCCTTTGATGCCATGAGAGTTCAAAGAGATGTCTAGGGGTTAGATTGTGACTTACTATGCCAAGTCCAGAAAGCCCTGAAGAGGCTGTGCCTGCCTAAACTTGCATGTTGAAACACTTTTGATTCCCCTTTTGGGGAAGAGAGGGAAGCAACTCCAGGCAGGAGAGCATTGAGGGATACTGTAACAGGAAACCTTCCACAGCGGTGGAGTGTTCATTGGGGCTTGCATGCTTCTGTCCTGCTCTGACTGAGCACAGGCATTTCTGCTACATTTAGTCTCTTTTTGCAAGACCGAGGCAGAATGCAGCATTTCAAGAGGTCAGGTTAACCCTGCCAATTCTGAACTGGAATTACAACTTCACTACCCCAGTTCTAATAGGGCTTCAAAATGCCCAGAAATGAGCTTGTGCTCTAGCTGGAAAAGTGGCCCGTAAAAATTATGAACAATTGTCTCTGTTCCTTTTGCTGCTTTATAGACAAAAGGTGAACCTAGTCCAGAAATATCTCACAAAATTATTTTCTCTACCAACAGACTATACCTAACAAAATACAAAAGAAAAAAAAAAAAAAAAAGAAAGAAAGAAAAGCAGTGTGGTCTTCCTCAAGTCTCCTCCCAGAACCTGATTTTTCTGCTGCGTTCCCTTCACTGGTCCGTTAGATAAAGATTAACTTCTTCACTGAATTTGTATTTTTAATTCAGTTTTCTCCTAATACTGGAGTCCAGAAAAGATCCGAATGTCCAAATAATAGTTTAATGACAGATCAGGGCATAATTAGGTCTACTCTTAGCAGGAGTACTGGTGTGTATACATTTCCATGCATTAGAAAGTATGATTCAGCTGTCTGTAAAAGGATAGACTAATTATACTGACAGGGTGGATTAATGCTGTTCTTGTTCCAGCAACTTGTTATTCACAGTGTGAAAGCCCTTAAACATCTTTTGCTTGGAGGGGGCAAATTTGGGGAGTGCCTTGGTATGCAACGGAATAAAGTCACTTTGTCAGGGCAAAACCATAAAGGGTAATCATAAGAATGGCATTTTGAAGTGAACTGTGTGAACTCTGAATTTTCACAGTACACTGCGATGGGCCGAATCTGGGCACACTGTCATTGTCATAGTGTGTCAGTCTCCCCCAGTGCTGCCTCTTATTGTTCTACGCCAGACTGCCGATTTTCTGCTCTATCACCAGGCCGGAATTTGAACTGCATAGAAGTGCTCACCTATTCAAAAATGGTTCAAGACTTTGTTTATTTTCAACATTCCTGTGCCACTCATGTCTAGCTGTGTCTGTCCTCCGGCCTTTGCTCAGATTAGGGAAAGGAAGCAAAAAAAGCATAGGATTGGGTTTGGTTTCTTTTCGGTTTCTCTGCGAGTGTAGCTTTTTAACATTGCAGTCATGTTCATTGCTAACAAGTCACAGGTGAGCACCACATGAGCAGATGAAGATATGATTATAATGGGTGTGTTGACAGTTCTTTATCCCTAACATATGCATCTTAACATGCACATGTGCATCTGTCATATAGTTAGAGTGGCTGCTTTTGGTTTCTTGATAATATGAATGCATGTGTGCTGTGTTTAAAAAATACATAACCATTTAAATCTATTTTTTGGCCAAATTCTTTTGAGAAGTAGTCATTTTCACTAGCCCTAACTGAGCATCTTCTTACTAAGTTTATGTATGGTCTGCTGGACTTAAGTGTGGAAAACAGAAATGTTGAGAAAAAAGGTATCGAAAGGTCTCTGGCAAGGTTGATACAGAACACTGTTACAGAGATAATTCTATAACAGACATTGTCAGTGGGAGAGAAGATCGGAAAAGTTAAAACACCCTCTCTGTCCTTCCAAGCACAGTAATAGGATCGAAATAGAGATATTTTGTTGTTGGATGATTGCAGTGTAGCATTACTGTTAGATATCACACAAGCCACGGTGTCCCACTTTAATAAGAATGCTTTGATAGCTCTAAAACTAGCAGAAGAGTTTTAGTACTTGGTCAATATAATTATTTGACAGCAGTGTTAAAATAAACCTTAAAAAAATCCCTGCACTGAGGCTTTGAGGAGATGAAAATGTATGTTTCTGTGTTTGCTCTGTTCTTCCTGTTTGTGTCTTCTGTTCCTGAACTTTGATATGAAAATAACAACAAAAAAAAAGAAACTTCAAATCATCCAATTGTGTTTATATTTGCTGTCTCTCCTTCAGTAACCCAGAGTACAAGGACACTCCAATGGATATTGCACAACTTCCTCATCTGCCAGAGAAAACCTCAGAATCCTCAGAGACCTCTGATTCTGAATCAGACTCAAAAGACAACTCAGGTAAAACACATGGTTTATATTTATGCCCACAAAAGGTTCATATCATGAGAGCAACATGGTTGGCTTTCCAGTTGCTTTTATTTCCCAAGGTTTGTTCCATTATAACAACAACAAAAACAAAAATTCCTGTGAAATTAAATGGAAAACACTAGCAAAATATTTTTATGACCTTAGCAATTCCATAGTATCTCAATTTCCTCAGCATTTCTCTTCACTCCATGTGTGCATCCTTGTCTACGTTGTACTGAACTAAATATTTGACTTCCCAGCTAAGCTTCATGAACAGGTTTTGTGACTTGTGGAGAAGACCTGGGATTGTAACTGTTGAATATAATTCTAGTTCTTGTCTTTCCAGAGTAGGCATATGTTCTTAAGATAAGTCTCTACTGTCAATCATTATTACCCCCTTTCCTGTGTAAATACATTTTTTAAGCGTCTCGCTAGGGGGCAGTAAAGATTGCAAAAATTTGAAGGTTTGGGTTTTTTTGCTTAAAATAATTCCTATATTATTAGAAGGTATGAGTTCAAGCACTTGTTTCTGAATTCTTTAAGTCTAGGACTTCAACTGTTTTTTAAAAGCTGTATGTACTTGTGAAACTCAATGTGTAAATTAGTCCTACAGATTCCTGGACTACAGTCCAGTGCACAGATGGGTCACACATTCCCCATTAGTTTTTTAAGTGCTTACCTAGGCATGGGTACAGATCAACTGGCTTTGAAAGGAGCGTGGTTTCCTGCAGCCCAATAGCTAAGGATGTTACTTCATTTTAGTATACAATGTATATATACAGCTGATTTTTTTCTCATGTCTCTAATAACAACCAAAGAAAACCTGGAGTAAAATGTATCACTGTGGCATAGATCAAGCGAAAGCAAGAAGAGGATCAGGCTCTGATGTTATGACTGTTCTCTTTCATCTTTTCCCTTTATTTGTTCTCCTTAAATAGCTTGGCTTGATGATTTAAGTTGACACCAGACACACATTCAGGCCCACCATTACTGGAAAGCTCTTCCTTCACCCATTCCCAGTGCTTCCTTTAGGCTTATTCCTAAATAGCCAAATAACACACACCTGGAGAACAGTTTGCATTTCCCTTGTGCACTGTAAATTTCTCCAGGTGAGACGTGCTGGTGCATTCATGGCTCCTAAGGATGATGCAGAGCAAGAGAGCATTCTTCAAAGGTGCACAGCTGGGTATATCTCAAAGGAGGTGTCTGGGAGTCTTGGAAGACAGCAGAGCCAGGGGATTGTTTCTTACAAAAGAATGAAATAGAAATGCTAAAGAACCTGAAATCAGAACAGCATCATGGTTGAACTCAACAAGTTCAACTCAAGCTCTGATAAAATCCCAGATTAATTTTGTGCAGCTTTAGACTACCTCACCCTAAGCCCACCCTTCACCAACCCTGGCCTTAAAAGAAAGCATCTTAAAAAAAAAAAAAAAAAAAAAAAAAAGGAGACATTCAGCCCTAGGTGGAATAAGGTGCTGCTGGTGACTGAAGCAGAAGTCCCACTAAGTGACTTATGAAGTGCATTTACCTAAATCCTCAGGCAGCTTCCCTGTCAAGCCTACCTTCTCCAGCACTTCAGGGAAACTGGTATTGACATGGCTCCAGGAGTAACCAATCTTTAAAGGAAAACTGGCCTCTCCCCCTGAAACAAGTATATTGAAAACTTGGCTCTGATGTGTGAGAAAGCATCTTTTATTTCCTAACAAAAGATTTCTGGCTGGTCTGTAAAAGACGAGTTCTCCTGAAGCCTTTCATGACCCTTTCAAACACAGTATGATAATGGAGCGTATTCAGTCTCAAAGCTGCTTTGGGTGTCTCAGTCCAGTGGGCTGGAGTGTTTAGCTCATCCATATTAGAATTAGGTAAAAATTTAAAACACAACTAAATGAATTCAGGGAAGAAGAGTGACAGCTTTTCAGTGCTGGAGCTGGCCTATTTTCAATGGTCCTTAGATTATTTGGATCATTCAGGAATTTAATTCACTTTTTTTTTTCTTTTTTTATTTGTTGCCCTTCAGGGGAATATGAGAAGAGAGTCTTGGAACACAACAAAATTGTTTTAACTGGTTTATTCATTCAGATTTATACATGTATGACCTGCTTCTCCTCTCACACGGGAGAAAATCAGCAGTAATTCCATTGAAGCCAGAAACACTATGTCACTTCAAAGTGGCAACGGTGAGAGGAAAATGACAGGAGAGGACTAGAATCTTCATTAGTAAATAGTGCTACACCTGGATACCTGTCCACTGTTGGAAAACACAGATGTGAAAGAACAGTCACCCCAACATAATGGTCATAATGGGATTGTTCACTGACTCCTCTTTGGATGACACAGCTACAATGCCATTGTGCTCACAGTTGTCAAAATTATTCTTGTCCAGCAAGCAGATGAAAAGGTTCTGCTCACTCGAGGTGCAGGCCATGTAGCATAGGTTTTTCATTCATTAACAGTCCTGAGCCAAAGAGATTCATGGTGATCAAAAGTCTCCCAACACAATGTGGCAAAAAAACTGTGGCCCTACAAAAGGGAAAACCTTTTCCCAATCACATCTCATTGGTAGGTGGAAATATGGACTTGGATAATAATACCATGTTCCTGTTGCTAATAGTTTGTTTCACTTTCCCTTTGTTCCAGAGGACAATGAGAACTCAAAGTCAGATGAGAAAGGAAACCAGTCAGAAAACAGTGAAGACCCTGAATCCGACAGGAAGAAGTCAGGGAATCAGTCAGATAACGAAATGAACTGTAACGATGATGGGAACAGCTCCAGCAACCAGGACAGCAGGGACAGTGATGACAGCTTTGAAAACTCTGACTTTGAGAATCAAAAGGCCCCTGAGGACAGTTTTGGCACTCTTGGCTCTATGCAGATCAAGGTGGAGCGCTATGTTGAGAGTGAGTCAGACTTGCGGTTGCAGAACTGTGAATCACTGACCTCGGACAGTGCCAAGGACTCAGACAGTGCAGGGGAAGTAAATGCCCAGTCTTCCAGCAAACATCAAAAGAGGAAGAAGAGGAGAAAAAAGCAAAAGGGAGGCAGCATGACCAGGAGAAGGCTGTCAAGCACCTCAAGTCCAAATGGACTTGACTCAGCTTTGGTGGACCAGCCCCAGCTGCTCTCGTCGCCAAACAGTGCCTCAGTGCTCAAAATTAAAACAGAAATCTCAGAACCTATCAATTTTGATAACGATAGCAGTATTTGGAATTACCCACCCAACAGGGAAATCTCAAGGAATGAATCACCCTACAGTATGACCAAGCCCCCCAGCTCCGAGCACTTCCCTTCGCCCCAAGCCAGCAGTAGTTTACATGTCTCCATTCCAGACTCTGTTCTCACCCCACCAGGGACTGAAAATACTGCCAGCCGTAAAACTCAGTTCAGCACCTCATCCAGCTCGGCCTTGGCTCCTGTGTCCTCTGACCCTTTGTCACCCCCACTTTCAGCATCTCCGCGGGACAAACATCCAGGAGGTCCCACAACTTCCAATTCTTTGTTGTACACTGGGGACCTGGAAGCCCTTCAGAGGTTACAAGCAGGCAACGTGGTGCTTCCTTTGGTTCACAGGGTAACAGGAACCCTTGCTGCGACCAGCACTGCTGCTCAGAGGGTCTACACCACTGGCACTATTCGGTATGCTCCAGCTGAAGTTACTTTAGCCATGCAGGGCAACCTCCTCCCCAACACCCATGCTGTTAACTTCGTTGATGTTAACAGCCCCAGCTTTGGGCTGGATCCTAAAACACCGATGGAAATGCTCTACCACCATGTTCACCGACTCAATATGTCGGGACCGTTTGGAAGTGCTGTGAGCGGGGCCAGTCTGACCCAAATGCCTGCAGGGAATGTGTTCACAACTGCCGAAGGACTGTTTTCCACTCTTCCATTTCCTGTGTACAGCAATGGCATTCACACTACACAGACTCTGGAACGGAAAGAGGATTGAAATATGACCACATACTGTGTTCAGTGTTATACTCTGAGGCATAGACTATGTTTTAATTTAGACCTTTAATTCTAGCACTTTGAATTTGAGCAGGTCAGCTTATTCTCTCAATATGATGGTCCCCATTTCATTCTCTTTCTCTTTAACTTGGCTTATTCTTTAATGTAAAGATATTTTTTTATTTTTTGCCTTCAGAGAGTCGAAGTACTGGTTGCCTGCCATTTTGTCTTCTTCTAAGATGTGTGTTTTTTCCTTTGCATCTTTATTAAGATGCCTTTAATATGTGTATGCCTCTGCCATAGAATACTCAGTGTTGTGGTAAAGAGATTTTAAAGTGACAACCATTGGTTTTACTTCAAAATGATCTTGATATGATCAAGATTAAAAGAGACAAGCATAAACAATGTGCCCTGTTTGACTAAGTCAAATGAAAAGGGGTTTTTGTTCCTAATTCCTTTAAAATAGGGGATAGTATTTTAGAATTTTATGCAGAGTTTAATTCTCTTTTTATGGTTAAGATTTTCTTACTTGCACATAAATAATTTGGGTTCTTAAAAAGTTAATTTCTGGCCTGTGACTAGAATGTTAAAAAGTTGGACTAAATGTTAATTACTGAAACTTTAACTTAATTTCTAAAACCATGGTGCTATCATTTATTAATCTGTAATGTCTTCATATAATATGCAGCTTGTGGGCTGGGTTATTTGAAAAGAATGTGTTCCGTACTGGTTTATAGTTGGTTGCTGCAGTCTCCTTGGTTAGTTAAGACAAAAGCCCTCATTAACATTTGCTGCAGGACTTAAAATTTTTTACCTCCAAACTAACAAGCATAGCCTCACATCAAATTTAAATGGGTCAGGAAGCCTTTCTCAAAAAGTGCTTAAAAACAAAAAACTCAATTTAATTGACGCGAGGAGCAGTTTCTTAGGTGCATATTGTTTTGCCTTATTTTTTTCTCAGTGTAACTGAGGCTAATTCTACAACATCAAATAACACTTCGGAGTAAAAAAGAAAAAAAAGAACAAACAAAAAAAAACCCCCACAAAAACAGAAGAACTATTTAACATGTTTTGTTTTTCATTTAATATTATAGAGGGAAGGTTGTAAATTTCTTTTTGTTCTTTGATTTGGGTATTTTTTGTTGTTTTTTCCTTATTTCTAGTGTTGAAACCAATATGTTTTAAAACTAAAGAATGGGTTAATACGCTTGAAATAGATAACTACAACTGAAAACTGCACATTAAGTAAAAAAAAAAGAAATCTCCTATTTCGTCTTTGTTGCCAGAAATCACAGTGTAGTGTCAAACACTCCAAATGACTGTCAAATATAAATTCTTCTTCCACTCCATCTTTGGCAGCTGTTTGTTAAGGCATCTAATAACAGATGTGAGAACTGTAATGTGTACAATGTGTAAGTGTCCTTGGCTGTCAGTCCCATTGCAGTTTCAATGTGTGTTACTATATGCAGTATATACGAAGCTAATGTAGTTGTTTTGTCCTTTGTCTTCTCTGTGCTTTATCTCTAGTCCGGAGTGGTAAAGTCCCATTCCTGAAGTCCTAGTGAACCAGTGATTCTTGGGGGTTAGTGGTTTTTGTGTGGTGGCCTTCCTCTGTAATGTCACCTTATGCTGCTTCCACTGTCTGTATACCTTTTAATTTCTGCTGTTGCTTTGCTGTTGTGTATTCTCAAGCCTCTCCCTCCCTTTCCTCTCTCCCCCCCTCTCCATGCCTCTCCCCTCTCTCTTCCTCTTGCTCTCTCGTTCTCTCTTCTTCACTCTCAGAGATAAAAGACTCTTAACTAGCTCAAGGTTAATGGAGCCATTTTTCCCACAGAGGAACTCTGGGTATGACTTACTCTTTCAGTGTACCCCACAATGCACTACAGAGTAATGCTCAGATATATTAAGCAAATTGATGCCATACAGCCTCAGCTGTTAACATTCCCAGAGTCCCTTGTGCTCAAACTGTAAGCAGAAGGTGCATTTCTTTGGTTTTCTCCCAGGTAGGCTGCTGGAGCAATATGTAGAGCAATTACCAGTGAGAAAGGAAATGTTTTCAAAGGTCAAACAGCATTGTCTAAAAAGGAAACTGAGCTTAGAATTATCATATCTATTTGCTTGTGTGTGCAATGCTAATATATTAACTCAGCTGTCCTTTGAATTTTTGATTGCTCACTGAGTTGAGTCAATTCCTTCAGTAGCTTTGAATTTGAGAAGTAGGTCTGATCCCCAGCGGAGCACTAGCGAAAAGGGAATTGAACACCACAAATTTCACTAATGAGCTTGTAAAGGTTCAATTGGAAGGATTTTTAAACGGCGAGAAAGTGGATTGGGAAGTGCAAAGTTTAATTTTGGAAGCTCTACTCTAGCTTTGGAACAATCAAAGGAGTGCACCTATCAGCTACAAAGAACAGCTAGACAGCTGTTGTTGTTTTGTTTTGGTTTTTTTATAAATGTTTCTGTGTTGTGTCAAAATGATTTCTGGTGATTTAAACTAACAGATAATCACAGCTGCTGTCTAAATCCATAGTGTTTAAAATTACAAAAATGAAAAAAAAACTTCATTACCTGTGAAGACTGTGTCTGTGTTTTTAACTATTTCTTGTACAAATATATGAAATCTTTTATGAGGAGACTGGTGCCAAGTAGCTGAATAATGGGGAAAGGGATTCTGTTCGTATAAATCTTAGCAGTGTTACCAACTCTACAATATAAAAAAAAATTAAAATGTTAAAAAGTGACAGCTATGGTACATTTATTTTGTGTTAAGCTAACTGAATCTAACTTCTTGAGTGCCTGGCTTATTTGAAACATTTTTTTCATTGATCATTGATAATGCTGCAAATCAGAAATGTACATACTTCATTTACAACAGGGTTCTTTTTATACTTTTGTAGATTCTCATACATGTCATACATGGTTGTCTTTATGTAACTTAATTTTTTTTCATCCCGCAGGTGCCATTTTCATAATAAACTTCTCTTGGATTTGTTACTATCTGGCATCATTTCTTTTACATATAACCATCCTGACTAATGAACGCTGGTAGTATTTGTTTGAGCAGGTATTTTTTAATTGTTTTGTTTGAAAAAAAAAAGAAAAAAAAGAAAAAAAAAGAAAAAAAACCAACAAAAATCAAAGAGGATAAAGCTAGATTTTATTAATGCTTGTGAAACGAAGAAAAGAAGCTGTGAAGATGTAGGTTAAGAATGCTAATCCAAATACTACAACAAACTTGCCACCATCCTAAATTCTCAGCTACCCCAACTCATTATCATATTGAGCATTTTTATGCACATTATCAAAGCTGAATAATGGGCCTGCAACATTAACCACTATAGAAAGTGTGCATTTTTTCTTGATTAATGCACACTGGAAGAGGTCAGCTTTTGTACATTAATCATTTAAAATGCACTTTATATTTTCATTTTTGTGCTCTACAATGTTACAGTGAAACTCTTCAGTCACATTATATCCTACCTAGGCTGCATTTTTGAATGTGTACTTTCTTTCTCCAGACTGGCAAGGTGTAAGTTGTTGGTATCACATGGCTAGACTTTCTGCCTTACAAATTGAGGACAGAAGCATTTGCCAGTGTAGAAAAGACAAGGCAAAAAGCCTTCTCCTCACAACTGAAGGGAAAAAAAAATTCAAATAAGGTTTTAATTATGCAGACACCCACACACCGTGGCTGACCCTACAAAAGGAACAGCCATCGGTAATTACATTGGCATAAGTTCTGAAAAGGGGCACAGAGCAAGTGTCCTTGATCTCTGGAAAAGCAGGAGATGCCACTCCAGGATCCCGTTGCCATGTGCTGGCTGTGGTGGTGGCTGCTGCACGTGCCAGGAGGGGCTGGGTCATGTCAGGGTTGGGGAGCTGGAGCCTTTGCACTCACCGCTCATGCGGTCACTGCATTATTCCTTCATTCATTGGTTTTCTTTATGGTGCTTCCCCCACCTGCAACAAGCAAAAACTTCCCACATTCCATATTTTATTTTGTTGTTGCTGAGTGTGCGATTTCTAAGAACGCAAAATGCAGCATGTAAAAACAAGACAGTGCTGCCTATAGCCGAGATCTGTAAGCCACTTTGGGTGTTCAAATCTTTTCTCCTCTCTATGTCCACTTAGAAATTATAACTGTTGGGCAAGTCATGCTGGATCAGATTGATATTCCTTACTAATGTGAGGCAAAACTGTCTAATTAGTTGCACTGTTCTCAGCACACCTTTTTTTCAGAAAAAAAGAGTCAGTTGAACTGAGAGCATGTCAATCTGGCTTGCTGTGCTGAATTAAAATAAAAATAATTTTTTTTTAAAAAAAAGACAAAATCTAAAAAAAGTATTCACAGTCATAGCTCAGTGAACCAGCCCTATGTCTTTGTAATTTGAAGTCTGGCTCTTTGAGCTTCCAAGTAGTTCAGACACTGATCACTGTGTTGGATATGTCTCCAACTCACAGGGGGTAGAAAGGAGCCGAGGTTGGCGGTGCTGCTTTAGCTCTGCTTGTATGTTCCAATTGGCAATGCATCTTGTTTATGAGGTAGCTAAGGGTATGGATGCCAACCAAGAGGAAAATGGAATTTAAATGGAGATTGGAAGAATGACCAGAATAAAGCTTAATGGAAGAATAACAGGCCTGTTCCAAGTAAGTGTTAACCAATATTAACTCAAGACTAATTCCAAGAATTGGGGCTTGCAGGGGGCATTTCTGAGTTGTTATAAAGATTTTTTTAAATCTCAACCATACTGACTATATGTTGCATCAGGAGAGTTGATGGTCAAAATGAATAGGCTGCTTCAAGATACCAGTTGAATGAGAAAGTTTGTGCATTAAAGAAAATGAGAGAAAAGCTGTTTCTTGGGGGGGGGGAGGGAGGGAAGGACTGGTGGGGGGGGTGTGTTAAAGTGATGCTGTTCATTAGTTTAGCTCTCGAGAATTGATTTTGTGAATTATTTGCAGCAACTTTAAGGAACACAACTGCTTTAAGTGGTTGAATCC